GCCTTAATTAGCCTTAAAATGTCTTAAATCAATCTTTCAGAAGTCTTAAAAATATTAACACATTGTAAATAGGATGATTGTAATTCATCTCAAATATTAAAATGGTTAAAAAATTATGATTTTAAATATTCACATGCAGACATTCCCCTTTGACCTCACTTCCTGTGATTTCACATGCAAATATCTCAATTGTTCATCTGAGCAAAGTGAAATTTGTTTTGTAATATGTTAATGTCTTCACAAAAATACATTTACTTGTCTTACAAAACTTGATGTCACTTTAAGGTTTCATCTACAGCAAATTAAGGTTAAGACCCCACTGTGGGGCCTAAAACTCCAAATTTTAGGTTGTTAGAGCATTTCCTGAAATTAAATTAAGTTTAAAACTGACTTGATGTTTCTGCTATAGTTCAATATGGATAAAAACATTTGGTTTATTAGGAATATTCGAATACTTCAACCAAAAGTACTTTGATTCATGAGTTTCTGCCAGTTTTTATTTTTTTGTCATTTTGTTTTTATAATGAAATYGGTCTTAAAATTAATTTTGCTTGACATTAAAAAGTCTTAAATTTAACTTGCTTTAAACTGTAGGAACCATGAAAACTGATAAATGTTGAATAAATACTCATTTGAAGAAGGAATTTTAAGAGACCTCCTCTCAGGAGACTGCAGAGTTCAGGCTGTACGTTTACCACGAATCATAAATCCCACTGCTTTTCCTGGTAAGAGGTTAGTTTTACTTTTTTTTTTGTCAGATCAAATGATCTTGTCCAGCTGTGTTAAAACAGTAAAGAACTGTCTGCGGTGTGTTTAAATTGTCAACCAAGCCCTTAATGCTGCGCTTGTTTCCACCTACGTGTGAACGCACTATCCTCGGATGTGACTCGTGTTTTTTTTATGGGCGTGATTTCAGAGGCACACGAGGAGCTGCAGCGGCTCCACAGCTGTAAGGAGGACGAGCACGAGGGCGTGGCGCTGAGGCTTCGCAGTCAGCTGATCAGCGCCCATGATGAGCTGGATAAGATCAGGAGCACCCTGAGGACCCTCCAGGGAGCGGACGGCCATGGTTTGAGAATGCTCTCAGTTTTAAATAATAAAGTTTACTGATAATTAACTTATTTTGGCTTCATAAAATTAGTCCTGAGAACATAAATTTATCCAGAACGGTTAATTCAGTTTTACTTCTTCTGCATGTTCTCATCTTCCTCTTTTCAAACATACAGTATATCTAATGAATTTTAGCAGATGTTAAAAATAACCAAATAAATCCTTTTGTTACAACCTCAGGCCTCCAGGTTGCTTTGGACATGCAGAAGGAGATCACTGCCAAGAGAGAGCAGGTCGACTCTCTGCAAAGTAGAATCCAACATCTAGAGGAAAAAGTGGAGCAACTGCAACAGGTTAAAGATTTTTTTAATAAACTTGATCACTTTCTTTTTAGTCAAATTATCAACTCATGAAAATCTTGATGCTTCTATTCGTAAGACACCCCTCCACCTGAAGACTATCTTAATAATTATAAAAATATAGAAACAAATCATAGATCCTCTCTTTATTTTTGTTGGGTTTTCCATTCGTCTGTTCATTTTGCTCCCCCCCAGGAGAAACGCTCCCAGAGCCTGGAGACCCACCGTCAGCTGCAGGAACTGGCGTTTATCAGGGAGGAGAAGAGGCAACTCGCCAACGAACTGAAGGCCCTTCGCTCCAAAGACCAGCAGCTGAGGGAGCGGATCAGCGAGCTGGAGGCCATCCTTCACAAGGTGAAACATTTAACACACTGTCAAACTAAAGCACAAAGCTACTTTCTCAACATGTTCCAAGAAGAATGCATTTAGTAAAGTTTTTAAATCATTTCAGATGTTCTACTGCTGGGGTCTCCAACCTTTTCTTCCTTAAGAGCTACTTTCACAAAATAAAATTGTCCGAGAGCTACTTTTTGCAACATTTAAACTTAAACTTAAACCATTGGAATAAGCTTGATTTGCACAAAAAACATTGTCTTCAATTCACATGAAACTACTACAAGGAACATTGAATTTACATAAACAGTTTGACAACCAAGGGGAAGGGATATCTATAGATTGATTGTAATTAAATTAATGTTTGGTTGGCCAGTGACAAATTAAATTTTGCTTCTCCTAATTTTTCATAAGCACTGAAGAGCTACTTTAAATGAGCCCAGGAGCTACTGGTTGGAGACCCCTGATTCTACTGTCTCCAGAACTGTTTGATCGTCGCTTCTTTGACTTCAAAAGCATTGATCTCTTTAAAATTTGCTTCTTTACTACTTTTTTCTGCTACTTTTACCTATTTTTGCTTGCTTCTTTCTACTTTCAGCAAGGGTTTTGTTTCTTTTAGCCGTCGTTTTCCTGTTTTCAGCTAGCATTCTGCTTTCTTAAAAACTTTTTTTTTCTTTAACGTTGTCGACTTGGTTTTCTCTCTTTGTTTTCAAAGATGTCAGAGAGCTTTGCAAACTGCCAGGACTTCCTCCAAGTGAGAGAACAGGAGTATTTTCGCCTGAAACTCCAACACGCTCTGGACCTGAAGGTAAATTTGTTCATAAACTGTAAAGACAGTGTTTATACTGTATATGAAGGAATGGTATATCCAGTCTGTACAGGGTGTAGCTCTGCAACTCCTAACGTTACTGTAGCCTGTTTTTTTTTTCAAACAAGAAAAAGCTTCTTTTAGGTTTTGGTTGTTAAATAAATTGTTCAAACATCTCTCTGTATCCGTTATACTCCATCTGATTTTTAGATAATTAGATCCTTTGTTACTGCAGAGCTTTGATGTATCGTTCTATCAGTGGTTTTTGAGATTCCTCTACAGTTTGCCTTTTCACTCAGTACCTTTTGACGGAGCATGTTTGATTCTAACCTAAACTACAAGATTGAGTACGTTCCCAAGTACTTATTGCAAAATTTATATTTATGTGTTCATGTCATTAAAACATTCCTGTTTTTTTTTTCCTTTCTTTATCTATTGGGACAGTTTTGTGGAGRCCGATAAGAGAAATGTCTGAAACAGAAACCGCCCTGAAACATTCATCAGCAGCATATTTGCTCATCTTTCCTCCTTGGAATGAGTTCAGCATTCCTCAGTTTGTCTTTAAGGTTTAAYGTATTTTGTTTTCTGTAGGAGCTCCAAGGTCAGACTCTGTGCACAGTTCCAGCTGTACCTCCACCTGATCTGAACTCCCAGACCTCACCGGCACAGACCGTTCGGATCAAGGTGCGGTCAGGCTCTCCCCATGTCGTGCCTCTCCCCTTTGATTCCAGTCCATCGAGTTCATGTGTGGATCATTTTAATTTGGCTGCACAGATACAGGCTCAGCACATCTGCTTCGTCTTTAAATTCAAAACACTCGCTGAGTTACATTCCTGCAGCTAGGAGGGAGATCAGACCGTACCGCAGCTGTGTAACACTGTTGAGTTTGTTCAGTCCTGCAGCGCGGCTCCACTGAGCCTAATGTGTTTATTGATTAAAGCCCGATCAAACGCGCTGGTGYTGATAATCAAAGAGAGTAATCTCATCAGATTGTCCCGTAAGACTGAGCGAATCAGCAGCTCCGCGTTTACTTTGTGTTTCCTTTCTCCTCTCTGGCCTCTGAAGTCCAACGAGCGGCGGGAGAGTTCCACCTGCGAGCTCAGATCTCCTCTCAGAGATCTGCGACCGCACACCGACGAGGGGATTTCCAGCTGCGCCTCCTTCCACAGGAGGAGGAGGTCCGCGCCGGAGCGCCGGCACAAAACCACACTGTACGTCTGGTTCCATTCTCACACGCTACGAGGATTAGCTTCTTGGCAGCTTAGGTCACATTTAAAAACCGTGATTAAGTAAGAAAACACTGGGTTTTATTAATCACACGACACTAGAACAAACCATGAGCGATCTGTTAGGTTTGTATGGTTTTAAAGTGCCTGTGACATATCCTTCAAATACAAAAAGTCAAAGAAAATATCTTCGTATTTAGGAAAATTGGCAYAAAACACGTGATTTAACCCATTTTGTCACATAACTGGCATATTTTTCTTTGAATTTGGCTCATCTAAAGTGAAACAGGAAGTGACATCAAAGGGAAACTCTTTAAGAAAGATAACTCCCTGGTCTTTGTTCATTAAAACAATATTTTTTGAACTCTGACTCTTCATCTCTCTCTTATAGGGACTAAAATTATCYAAAGAAACATYAGAAGATTCCCTGCTGTCTGTGTTGTTAGCCGTYGTAGCAAAGCTCTGTTTACATACAGTCATTCMMCTTTGACATMATTTCCTGTTACTTCACACGCAAATATCTCAACAACTGTGCATCTCAGTGGTGTGAAGTGGCTTTTGCAATATGTTSTCAGTGTTATATTTCCAAAAGTGCATTCRTATTYATCACAAAAATTTGATGTCACAGGCAATTTAAAGCTTTTAAAGCTTTTATTTAAATATAATATATTTTCTTGTCCTTTTATTACTGCAGTTCTAAAACATGCTCCAGATTGAGGACCTGCAGCAGGTAAGATAAATGACCAAACCTGACGTCATTTTTTGTKTTTATATATTTTAAAGAGCTGAGTACATCTTATTGTTGTGCTATATGATGGTCCGTCCCCCCCCCCTCATGCCACACGAGACAAAGTGCTTCAGTCTGAACAAAATCATGTAATATGAGACTGCCTGTGTGTGTACGCTGCGCACAGTGAGACACATTTCCAGAAGACACCTGGGCTGAGTGGGCTAATCCTAAGCAGGGAGAGTGAGTATCATAGTTGGGTTACTTTTTTGTTCATAGTTTTTGCTCTTTTTAAATGCGGCTTTTGCCTTTCAGTTTAGTATCTAAATATGTTTAACACTCTGACTTTTCTAGCCCGCTGCAWACTGAGCCCAGTGACCTCAGCAAAGTTCAGCTGCGCCACACAGATCCTCGCCATCGGCCGCAAGTCACCGGTTCACAATCTCCTGACCTCTGACCCCCACGGCTAACAGAAAACCCAGGAATCTGAGGCGACCTCATCGTGTCTGTGAGCTGCTGTCTTCATGAAATTATAATGAATTSTAATACTGTGTTGACACTGAAACCAGGCTTAATTACGGTTATATAACTGGTTAAAAGGTAAAACAACAGCTGCTGCTTCGAGTTCACTGCACGAGGAAATTTTAATGACTTAACTAGAGCCAGCTGTTCACACAGACTGAGTCATGTGGCCTTTTTTAGTYTTCTGTTTAGTTTGAGAACTGAAGTTTTACCCTGTTAACTTAAAGGGAAGCTRAAATATGTGTTTATTGTTTTTCATGAATTCTCATCAAATGAGGTTTGACCTTAAAAGATTTTTATTATGACCCCTGCACGCGAAGTGTAAGCTGGTCATATTGTTTTCGTACTGGTTTTTTTTCTCCCCCAGTGATTTTTGGTCAACTGTAGCACAAAAACGGCTGCACCAGTCAACATGAAATTTGGCAGGACTGTAGATGAG